CCCCAAAACCCCAAAACCCCAAAACCCCAAAACCCCAAAACCCCATAAGAGGTGGCGGCATGGAAGGGGTCATAAATAAAAATAGATAGTTGTTTATTGGAAGATGGAGGGTAACGAGTCTGGCGCAAAAGATTCGGAATGTAAAAAGAAGAGTGGTGAAAAGAAGAGAGCTGGCCCTAGGAAAAGAAAGTAATCTATATCTCTCACACTTTTAGAATCAATTGGGATGACCAGGAATTATTATCATGTATGGAGATCAAGAGACAAAGGTTGGCCAAGATCCTAAGAAAAATCAGCATTCTATATACAGAATCTGTAAACTTCAACACCTCCTGCCCTTTTTAAGATAGACTTAGTCAAGTTCTCGAAGCTATCTTTGAAGGAAAGAAAGATTGTGAGAAAACTTGTGGTGATCCTCGCTCTTGATTGGAAAGGAAAATTGCCTTCTTGATCAGAAGTGTTATATGACCTTGACATTGAAGTAAAAATTCCAATCACGAGGAAGACTATTGACAAATTTATAGGAAATTGCGATAAAAATCTGCTAAAAGAGTAAGGACCTTACAAATTAATAAAAACAGTCGTTTAATACACCTTTTGTATTAGAAATCCGTATCTTTTAGCTATTTCCAATTTATTTCTAAAAGTTCCTAATTTCTTTCACTAAAATGAGGAATTTTTCGCAAAGCGCTCAAAAATTTACTTTTAAAGATCTCCAAATTATATAAACAACTAGTGTATTTCCTTCGAATCTGAAAAGTGAATTTATTGATGAATAGAAATAGCTTATGTTTGAGTTTTATGACAAGAAAGATTAGTACCCAGGCCTTCCAAGATTAGTACTCATCCTTAGGAATAGATTTTCATCGTATTTCTCCATTTCGAAAGATATGGAGTTTTTGGAAAAGAAAGATACGTTACTTGCTCACATTTATGATATGTGAATTACATTTACATGTGAAGTGGAGATAGACTTTTTGGATCAGATTATTGAAGTTTTAGCTCTAATACTGCTTATAGATGCAAGAAAACAGATATTAAACAATTTCTGAACTCTCCAGACAATTCTGTTCTAAAATAATCCTAGTAAAGCTCCTTTTACTAATGGTACAAATGAAGATGACTTTATTGACAAAAAATGGCCTGATCCAGATTTTCTTAATGTTGACGATAAAGATACTTTCTATCGGCTTGAAGGAGAGGAAGATCTATCTTATTGTCATCAAGACCCATCCATCTCAACTACTAACAATGAAGTCCAAATCCAAGCTGAAGGCCCACCTATAATATCTTATGACCCAGCCGACTTAGTTACTTTGTTTAAATCTCCAAACTCCGAAGAATACTCATGGCTCCAAAAATACTTTGCTGACAAATTACTATTGACTGACAAGATCATTGCCAGTGTGGGCAGCCTGCTTGAAGATAACGATTCGCTCAGATTTCTAAGAATGGTTTTTGAAGTCTTCCTATTGGACAAGATTTCTCAATTAGGAAGCAAGAGAAGGAAGGAAAAAGATGGAAAAACTAGGAAAAATAGAAAAGATAAGAAAACTAAGCAGAGGAGAAAGAAGAGAGATGAGAAAGCTGAACAGAAGGCTAAGGAGGAGTATATGGAAGATGGTGGCGTGAGCTCTAGGGAGGAAACTAAAGAAGAGAGCATGAATGAGGAGGCCGAGAAGCCTCCTATTCCCAATCCAAGAAATGCTACCTCCCTCATAAGAAAATCCCCAAAAGAACTTTATGGAGCTATTAAAGTGGCAGTGAGGTACCTAAAGCTAACAAGCAAAGATATAGGTCTTCTCAACAGGCTAAAGGCTGAACAGAAATGTGCTATTACTATGATCCTCTTCATAGTACTCTTCAATGATGAGCTTGATGAAGAGCATAAGATTCTGATACCTACAGATGAAGCTTCATTTGAAATCCTTCTCAATCACTTTGGAAGATTCTTTCAAGGATTCGGCAAAGGAAATAATAAAAGCTCTAAAGATACAGATGAGAAAGCTAAAGAGGAAGCTAAAGAGGAAACTAAAGAGGAAACAAAGGAGAATACAAAGGAGGATACAGAGGAGGATACAAAGGAGAATACAAAGGAGGATACAGAGGAGGATACAAAGGAGGATACAAAGAAACAGGCAAAGAAACAGGCAAAGAAACAGACAAAGAAACAGACAAAGAAACAGACAAACAAGCAAGCAAAGAAGAAGACTAAGGGACAGGCAAAGAAGCAGGCAAAGAAGCAGGCAAAGAAGCAGACAAAGAAGCAGACAAAGAAGAAGACAAAAGCGCCGGCAAAGGAGTCCGAGAACAATATGAATAAAACTGGAACCAGGGATTATGCTTGATTTAGTATGTCAAATCCGTTTGGCATTTCATTATTAAGTGTTGCACTGAAATTCCTGGAGTCTCAAAGATTCTAAACAATGGCTGATTTCAAGAACTTGAACATTTTCTGTGCTTCAATACCCTCTTCATAAAGTTATAGGGTATTCGAGATAAGCAAAGTCAATGGTCAAGAAAAATAGATACTACTGAGACAAACTACTCTCATAAATCATTTAATATTTGAGTTAAAAGTAAGCCTCTAAAGTCAAGGCTACTTGATAAAATATTATTGATTTAATATCTCTCTTTAAGGGTTTATGGCTGAATAACATTCCTAAACGATTGGTCTGAGATTATTTATGCTCCTGTCTTCCTTTATTTAGCTACAGCGCTCTATTGGAGGCATAATTCTGAAAATTTTGGGATCTCTTATTAAAATTCCCAACTTTTCCATTATTTATTAGAAATTAGTTTAGAGAATTTTGATCAAATTGCTGATTTCAGTGCTTGTAGACCACAATGGGGTTTTGGGGTTTTGGGGTTTTGGGGTTTTGGGGTTTTGGGGTTTTGGGGTTTTGGGG